ATTTACCACTGACCCGCCACACACACCACATACACGGGACCAAACCACACAGCCTGGGGTAATATTTGTTCTTTGCCCAGGAATGCAGCTTTGTTTTCCCAGTTGAACTATGAGCGCCCTGAGAGCAGGAAATCGTATTTACCTGTGACTCTCCCACAGGCTCTAACATATTGCCCTATACATAAATGTTCAGTGAGATCTTCTCTATTATTATGTGTTCTAATTTATTTAACAGTCACTGTATCTAAGAATATTCACTAGATATCTGCGACAGCAGATGGGGCAGCAGGCGTGCAAAGCCTTCTTGAGGCGCAGGCCACAGGCATAACAGAGGCACATGTGGCCACATGTGCAGATGACCGTGTCCACTGCATGCTCATAGCAAATGGTGCACTCATCGCTCCACTGTCCTGTGCCCGGGGTCACTGGGGACTCAGGCAGGCTCACTGGAGAGTTGGGGGCTGTCCCTGGGGACAAGGGGACACCAAGTCAGTGGGAACGTGGCCCAGTCTGGCCCCACGTTCATGGGAAGAGAGCCCCCTGGTCTCTTATGTCCCAATCCATTTATTGGGTTTCTCTTAGTGTTAATAGTCTTTTAGTCAATTATCATCTTCTTTCATAAAGTCACACCTCCTATTTGCTTTTCTTGCCTTATTGCACTGGCTATCATTTTCAGAACAATACTCTAAGGCATCCCTATCATATTCCTGACTTTAATGAGAATGTTTCTCACGTTCCATCATTAAGTATGAAACCGGCTGTAGTTCTGAAATAAAGGAAATATCCCTCCATTCTTGGTGCACTTAAGCCTTTCACAAAGCAGAGCACACCTCTGTAAGGTAGTTACCCTTCACATATTGTCACTGGGTTTTCCTTGCAGTTCCATCAGGATCCCCAAACACCAGTTTGCTGACTGAGATGCCCAGTTCTCCTACCACCCAGAAGCACTATCTTTAGCATATATTGTTTAGCAAACATCTGGAAGATTATTCTTTTTTAAATATTTTTTTTTCAACGTTTATTTTATTTTTGGGACAGAGAGAGACAGAGCATGAACGGGGGAGGGGCAGAGAGAGAGGGAGACACAGAATCGGAAACAGGCTCCAGGCTCCGAGCCATCAGCCCAGAGCCCGACGCGGGGCTCGAACTCCCGGACCGCGAGATCGTGACCTGGCTGAAGTCGGACGCTTAACCGACTGCGCCACCCAGGCGCCCCTGGAAGATTATTCTTAAACCCCCACCTTGGCCCACTTACCTCTCGAGATATTTAAGTCCTGATTTTTTTTTTTTTTTTAAGCTTCTCCTGTGTCTAGTAAGCCTCTTTGGGGAACAGAAGTCTCATCGGAAAGCTACTTATCTATTATTAGATGGTGCTGAGGTAAGAGAGTACCCTGCCCTTATGGAGTTTCCTTCATCTGAGGAGCAGTATCTCCCAGTGAGTGTAGCCAAGTACCTTTTACCTCAGCCTGATTTTTTTCTGTACCCCAGTCTGATTTCTTTTTATTCCATCCTGAGTTTTCACCCCAACTTCCTTCCATCCTCATGTATTTTCATCCAGCCTGATGTCTTTTCATTCTTTCCTGATTTATCTTCCATTAATCATAACTTCTTAGCACTTCAACCTCATTATTTTCATTCCTTTTCAAATTTATTTTTCACTCCATTTGGCCTCTTTCCAGAGTAGGAAATCCCCACTTATTTTATCTGATTTCACAAACTCTAACACATTCACAATCACCAACAGCATTATACATACAAATACACATGTACTCACTCATGTGTGCCTATACACAGACATATCAGTTTTAGAGCATAATACACCTTCACTCGTATACACATGTTATCTTGTCTACAAAGCCTCCTGGGGTGAGGTCTAGGCTGGGGCTATGAAGCCCAGAGGTCTCCAAATATATCTAAGCAAACTTGCTTAAAAAAAGAATTCAGATGCCTAGGATGTACACAATCAAATCTCTGCAGGTGGGATTGAAAAATCTGCACTTTAGTAGGTCCTGCTAGTGAATCTAATGGAACCAGTCCAGTCAACTGCAACTGATTAGCAGGCCAGCTCTTGCAATGTATGAAATACCTGCCCACTTGGGGGAAACAGAGGTCCCTGGAGATGGTTTGGAGGTGGGGGGGGGGGGTTAAGATTTCTGGTCAAATTAGATAAAGCTGTACCCTATAACTACCTCTTCCTCCTCCTTAAAGATTCATATTGCCTATTAAAGGTTCTGAGAGGAGTGCCTGGGTGGCTCAGTCAGGTGTCTGACTCTTGATTTTGGCTCAGGTCATGATGTCACAGTTTGTGGAATCGAGCCTCTTCTCTGGCTCTGCACTGGCAGCTAAGAGCCTGCTTAGGATTCTCTCTCCCTCTCTCTGTGCCCCGCCCCCATTCTCTAAGTACACTTAAAAAAATAAATAAATAAAGGCTCTGAGAAGTTCTGCAATAAAGAATCCTCCACTTTTTCTCAACTCAGTGTTTTCCTAATTTTTTCACCCAAGGACCCATTTTCAACAGACGCCTATCCCACAGAACACTCTGAGAAACAGGACTCTCACGAGTCTACATCCACCAGTCCATTTAGACTCTGTCCATTCAAAGCCAGGAATGAAACGCCCAGACCTCTACAACCCCATTTCTTCCAAGGCCCTATTCTCAGATTCTCCATAGGCTCCCAATCCAGGCACCACCCTGCACAGACACCTGGCTACCAACACATCACTCTTTTTCTTACCTAGACACACAACCATCCTTATGAGGCAGAGACTTTTATTCCCATTTTGGAGAAATGGAAACAGCCTCAATAAGTTAATTGCTGGTGGAAAATTTTTTTGTCATCTTTAAGTGTCCACTGAGACGTGTGTTTCCGGGCCGTTTATGCATCTATGGGGACACAGGTTAATCAGATTCTGAGAAACTCAGTGATCCACACTTTTCTCCCCGCCCCCAGGATGCCTCTGGTGAGATTTGAGGACAAGGGCCTAGCAGATGGAGTCCCACCCAGGACTCGTTTCTGTGCCTGGGACGCGCGTAAAGCGGTGGGGCGGGGCGGACTGGCCCTCTGTTCTCTCCGCCTACCCGGATGGGCCCGTCCTCCAGGAAAGGCACGGTGTTGGAGGGGCCGTCAGGGGAGGCACTCACCGAGGATGCGGATCTGCGTAACGGCCCCGTGCAGGCCGAAGAGCATCCAGAGCGGCTGCGAGGCATCCACGCACAGCTGCATGCCTGCCGCGGCGCCGTTGTGGCTGAGGTGCAGCTCCCCGTCGGCGTTGACCACCAGGCCCAGGATGTCGCCGCTGTGCAGGGGCCCGGGCACGCGGCACACGGCCCAGAATTCCTTGCGGTCCACGAGGGCCTCGGGGCTGAAGGGCAGGTCCGCGGGCCGCAGCGTGCCGGGGTCGCACGTGGTGACGCCGAAGGAGAGCGCGCCGGGCCGCGCGCCGCCCGAGCGCGTGACCTTGACGAAGATGGTCTCGGCCACGCGCACAGGCCGGCTGGTGAAGACGAGCGCGCGCTCGTCGCGCCCGTGCTCCAGGCGCGCCACCGTCTGCTCGTCTAGGATCCGGACGTGCGCGCCGGCGCGCAGCGCGTGGAAGCGAAGGTCGCCGTCGAGCTGCGCGGGCAGCGCGCGACTGTGCTGCGAGTTGAGCGAGTTCTGCGGGATGGGGCAGCCGGCGGCCGGCGCGGCCTCGTCGCCCTCGGCGCCCGGCACGTTGAGGTCGCACAGGCTCACGGAGAGGCGCGCCTCGTCGGCGTCGCGCCGCAGCGACGGCCGCCGCAGGGCGGTGAAGGAGCGGGGCCGCAGGCAGTCCGGGAGCACCAGCTCGCTGTCTGCGGCCGGGGAGGGGGAGAGACAGGGTGACCGTCAGGCGGGCCGCTCGGGGCCAGCCACCGTCGCCTGCGCGCCTCCTCCCGCCAGCCTTTCCAGCATGCACCGCGAAATACCGACCGCGTTGTTAGCGGCACGGGAACGGCTTCGGACCTAGGCTAAGGAATCGGGAAACAAAGTCCTGCAGGACATCTGTTTAAGCAAAGGATCAAGGCTAGAAGGAAGAAAAACATTCTAAATGGCGCGCTTATAAAAGTTTTTACTATTAACTCCCAGGCCCTCCCTTTGGATCCCCAGCATTTAGAACTGCGCTGAGCACGTCAGATGACAAGCAGTAAATGTCTGTTGAATGCACTGTTGACGTCCTACCCTTCTGGAAGGTCAGGGGGATCCCCCTTCCCCAGAACCCCTCTGCATAAATTGTCTCAGCTTATCCTAACAATTACCTTTTGAGCTTAGCATTGCCGCAGGAGGACACAGGCTGAGAGAACTTAAGTAAATGTATCCAGGTTTCCTTTTGAAAGGGACTTACTTTCAAAGGGGAAATCAACCCCTTTCTCTTTTTAATCATACAAGTAAGACACACTGTCTTTTATAGAAAAGACAGTTCAGCAAAAAGAAAAAATTACCACCTCTCAGCCCACCATCCAGAGAAAAATACTCTTAACATTTGGATGAGGACCTCCCAGCTTTTCTCCCCCCAATATATTCTTCAGTTACTTCTTTAATACAAAAATTGAATCACGCTATATCAACTCTAGTAGTTTTTAACCTTTTATGGGTAACAAATCCCTTTGAAAATGTGATAACTTTCACCTGTCACCTCAGAAAAATGCACATTCTTCCTAAAGTCTGTGGATAATTCCAGGGCATCTGTGAATCCCATAAAGCCATCCATGGGCATGGACTCCAGGCTAAGAACCCTGCTATATACAGATTTCCTTTTCAAAACTAGCTTTTCCACTTACTGTGTCCTAAACACCTTTCCATGCCAATAACCATGTTTCCAACACCATATTTTTTTAATGGCTGTATTATGTCCTGCTTTATGGAGTCCCATCATTTATAATAAAAGTCATCATGCACGATGAATTACCCCTGCATTTCATCCTTAAAACATCCCGTGGAAGTGTTCCCATTATGGAGATAAAACTCAGAGATGTGATGTGACAGCCACCAGGTGGCAGATCTGAAATTGAAGCAAGGTCTGTCCAACTCCTGATACCACATTCTTTGCTTTCAGGACCCCTCCTTGTTTATTGAACCCCTTCTGTGGGAGTCAAAGTCCCCAAATTTGGCTAGTGCCACTGTAGACCACAGCATGGGCCAATCCCTCCCTGAGAGCCTTTCCTCTGAACCTCCCAAAGCGAGAATCTGTGCTTTCTCTCCAGGACCTGGGTAAGGATGGCTGGGGTGCTCGGTGTGGGAGCAAAGCTTGAGGGACTGGACTGGTGTGGGCAGCTGAGGTCAGAATTCAGCTCCAGCTGAATCTAGAAACGGTCTCCAAAGCCTTCTTGTTTTTGTTCTCCCCCAGCCCCCACCACCCTTTCCAGAAACAGCCTCGTTTGGGCCTGGGCAAGGAGAAGCTGCTGGGCTCTCCCCCCTCAAGTCCCCTGCCTCTCTGGAGTAGCCTCTTGGGGCCTGGCTGGTTGGGATTTCCCAGCATCATGCCTGGCAAGAAGGAGGGAGCCGACCGGAAAATGTGATTATTCCAGGGAATTGACTCTGTGACAGCGATGGTGCAGAGAGGCTGGGGGCTGCAGAGAGGCAGAGACAAGGAGGCTCAAACAGGAGGGGGAGGCCTGAGAGACAGTAGTGTGGACCTGGGACAGGCTGTGGGCTGACCTGGACCCCTGGGAACAGCCCCTGCTTCCAACCCCTCAGGGATTCCAGCACTGGCCCTAGAGGACTCCAGGGTTGGAGATGGAGAGGAAGGGACAGGGACAGCAGGGTGACTAAACAACAAAAGGCTCAGATTCTCAGCCAGAGCCTACAGGAATAAGACTGTCACAGGAGCCCACACACATATGCACCCCGACACTCCTCTCCCTACCCCAACCCACACACACTCAGAACACTCAGCCCAGAGCCATGGAGCTGGGCAGACCCTCAGTACAGATTTCTGAATGGGGCTGGATGCGAGCTATCCTGAGCTCTGCCCCTTCAGGAGTCCTTCTGTACTTGAATATGCCCACTCCTGCGCCTCCCAGGCAACCTATGCCATTGTTGAGCTACTCTAAGAAAGTGTTTCCTTCTCTTAAACTGACATCTACCCTCCTGTATCCAAGGATCCTGGATTAATTTACTTAACTTCTCTCAGCTTCTGTGCCAATGCTATCTCTGGGGCAGTCCCGTAGAGAAAAGGACTCTCCTCTGGGAATACTCAGACACACTGCACACCTTCCCACCTCTTAGATGATGAACAGAACCAGCCTCCAGATGTTCCCTGACCAGCTCAAGGCACAGTGTGGCCATCACCTCCCTTGAAATTTACACTATATGTCTAATAGTGCAACCTGACAGTATCTCAGATGCTTTAGCAGCCAAAATCCATGAACTGGTAGGCAGGGTAGGAGCATAGTTAAGTAAGGATTTTGAAGTCATCAGCCTGGGTTCAAATCCTGGCTCTGCCATTTTCTGGCCATAGACCAAAAGCTTAACCTCTCTGGGCCTCTCCATGTGTAAAATCAGCCATGTACTGACGTGTATAAAATCTGTATTCTAATACTCGCCTCAGAAGGGATGCTGTGAAGTTGAAATGCAGGAGGTAAGTAGTACCCTACTCTACCTAGTAGAGTACCTGGCACATAATAATCGCTAGGTAAACACGAACCACTGTTATCATTTCCATGCCCCAAGGCTCAGAAGAAAGTGCATGGGCTTTGGGGTGACACAGGCCTGGGTTTAACGGTCCAATCCAGCACTTGAACGGTGGCCAGTAAGGAAGCAACTTTCTTCCCAGCCTCAGATCACTCACCTAGAGAACAAGGGGAATAATACCTGCCTTGTGCTGTTGTTGCAGGGATCAGAGGTAGAGCGGGAAGCCCCCGTACTTGATAACCTCAGGTACTAGTACTTACTCAGGTTGAGTTTTGTCAACCAAAGTTAGGTCCACCTGCACTTAGGCAATTAACTTTCTGAACCTTAAGGTAGGACTTTAGATAGATAGATAGATAGATAGATAGATAGATAGATAGATAGATAGATATAGGACTATATATAAGGTCATGAATGACATCACTGACTAAAGCCCAGAAAGGAGAAGGTACAAAGTGGACATTAGAGGAGAAAGAAGAGAAGGAAGGAGAAACAGTTGGGGGGGATGGGGAGGAGAAGGGACAGGAAATGACCCCTATGGCTTTGCCTGAGATCTTGGAGGAGCAGGGAGAAAAGGTATCAGAGATGCTGGGAAACAGCTAAAAATGGAATCCCCGGGGCCAGTGCCCAGCCCAAGTATGTCTCCTCTCCCGGCTCAGCTGCCCCTCGGGGTCAGGAGTGGCTGCAGGCCGCCAGCAAGCTCCAAAATAGCCATCCCCTCAGTGTGCCCAGCTGTGCCGGACCCTGAAATAGATGACACTGGAAATAGAGGAGCTGATCAGGCACCCTCTGCACAAGGGACGGCAAAGGTCAGAGCTGACTGGACTGACATCGAGTCAGAGGCCAGGGGAGGGTCCTGGCCACAAAAGCCAGGGAGAGCACCCTGGGACCAGCCTCCGCCCAGGGTTACAGCTTGGAAAAACCAGATGGGCTACCTGTAACCCCAAGCAGCAGCGTGGCCCATTTGGAAGCAACAAGTTATGTAATCCACGCGCAGGACACATGGCTGCCCACTTTGGAGGTATTTATGACAGGAGGAGGGGAGGCTCCAGGCCACCGGAGAAGCTGTTAAGCTGGCTTCCCTCTCCACATCCCGTCTTTCAGGAAGGAGCTTGTCTGTCTTCAGCTCCTGCCTAATCTGGTGCCTAGCGGTGGTCCTGCAAATACTTTGGGCCAGAGCAGAAATCACCGGCCCTGCAAGGGCAGTGAGGCCAGGACAGGGGGTTTCCTCCCCGTCAAGGTGGCGCTCAGGTCACCCACTCACTGACACACTGTGTGCCCAGCCCCAGGCAGTGGTAGAGACAGAAGGAGAAGCCAGGACATGGGCCCCAGGGAGCCAGTAGGCTGTGGGAGGATCAAAGCTTGGAGGCATGAAAATATGTGAATATAATTTTGTTACAAAATTCTCAGTGTCTCCAGAGGAAATCCACCTCTCCCTGCCAAGTTCTCACCCAGCCTTGACTAGAATGGCCCCGGGGACAAGAAGCTCACCACATCCCAAGGCTATCTGTCCCCTGTCTTTGAACAACCATAACTGTTAGAAAAGCTCTCCTTGCACGGATCCCTATGTGTCCTATAGCCACTCCTTGCACCCTCTCTGAGCCTTCTCTTCTTTAGGATAAATATTCCTTTTAGGATAATGCTCTCTAGCCAAGGCTGAGGTCCCCTTCCTGTCTCACAGTGAGCCAGAGACAGCATCTCAGAAGAAACAAGATTTGACCTGGACCCTGAAGGACAAGAGAGTTTGGACTGACAGAAGTGAGAGGCACTCAGTGGGAAAACTGTTCTAGTAAATGCCTGGAGAACAGCCTGAGCAGGGCCAGCGGGGCGAAAGGAAGGGAGAGGAGGAGAGGAGGGGCCAGGCTGAGGATTCCGGGGCCAGCTCTGGCCAGAGACCCACCGGGCCCTCCCACATGTTGCCAGCCAGTGCAGGGCAACCAAAGCAGGGCCTGGGCACTGGTGCAGGGGCCCTCCGGGGCAGGCAAGGGGCTCCTTTGAAGCAGGGCCTGCCATCAGCCCCAGAGTCTTGTTTGTTTAGATTCTCACATCCGGAGCACTGGATAATCTTTAACCATGGGTCGGCCTGCCGCAGCCGGCCGGCTGGCGGGTATCTGCCGGCCCCTGTTTAGAAGGTGCTGCCAGCCCATTTACTGTCTCCATAAACATCCTCTTGCTGGTCAGCATCTGGCATGGGGCAGGGGAAGGAGCCCGGAGGGCGGGTACATGGGTTGGACGGGTAAGGGGTTTCTCCACCCCTCTGGACAGTGCCCCGAAACCCACACCCGCCTCCACCCTCTCCATATAAACCCAACCACACAAAAGCTAGACGAACAAATACTTTTCGAGGCCCATGGAGGGAAGGGTAGAATGTCCCAGAAACATTTGGAGTCACAGATTCTAAGCTTTATAGAATCTTCAGGCCAGAGGATCTTAGACATATAGATTCTCAGACTCATCTGGTCTAACGGTTCTCAAACTTTTTTTTTTTTTTTTTAAGCAGTGGAATCCTTTTGTCCAACAAAACCAAAATTTCTGGTTGAAGTCTAAGAAGAAGCCATAGAGCCTGCCAACTCAGCCGCCTCAAAGATGCCTCTGTGGAACCCCAGCGTTCCAAGGAACCCAGCTAGAGAACCAAAGGTCTTGTTCCAAGAAACAATTTAGATAGAATAGTTTGAATTTCACCCAGATACAGGGACTTGATTTTAAGGCCTCCTCTTCTAATGAGAGGACTTGGGGGGGTTGTCTCTTTGGTGGTATTTTTAAATTAAGTATTCCTTTTCAACCTAAAAACAATAGCCCTTGCTATATATGTAAACACTTTTACATATTCATCAGCCTCAGACTCTCTGAGGTAAATGGCACATATATAATTATGTCCAGATGGGACAGTTGTGGCACAGAGAAGCTGGAAGGCTTGCTGAAAGCTAGTGAGTGGCCACGTCAAGTCTTGATCCAATCAGGTCTCCTGCTTCTGAAATGAGGGCTTTGTCCCCAGTACTGCAAGGCCCCAGCTCCTCTACTACACACACCCCACCCCGGACCCCTAGGTCTCTTCAAGCTCCCCAAAACTATATTTTGGACCAAAGAGATACTAGGCAGAAAATATGAAACTGCCATTTCTGGATATTACAATCTAATATTGCCCATCGTATAAGGTTGCACTTTATATATATTCATTCTGGTGAAAACAAAAAACAAAAACCAAAAACAAAAAAACCCCAAACCACCAGAGTGCTCTGTAAACAACAGAACCAGATGAAGCCGTCAGGAGCCTTCACGGAACTATGAGGCAGACACTGCTGAATCAGGATGCCGGGCACCCTCACTTCCCCAGCCAACCCTGCTGGGGCTCTCGTGAACTCTCTATACCCAACAGGTACAGCTGATCCCTAACCCCCTGAGCTCTCCTAAACTATCCTGGAAGACATGGGAGGGCCAACACCCCACCCTTGGGAGGTATCCAGACTTCACAGGGGACCAGGTGAACTCATAGTTAGAGAAGCTAGGAAGTAATGCAGCCCATGCTCCTGGGCCCAAGTCCCACTTCTTCCAAGCTGTGTGACTGTAAGCAAGTTATCAGACCTCTCTGAGACTGTTTTCCTTATCTGCAAAACGAGTACAATAATAACTTTCTTTGGGGCGCCTGGGTGGCTCAGTCGGTTGAGCATCCAACTTCGGCTCAGGTCATGATCTCGCGGTTTGTGAGTTCGAGCCCCATGTCGGGTTCTGTGCTGACAGCTCGGAGCCTGGAGCCTGCTTTGGATTCTGTGTCTCCTCCTCTCTCTGCCCCCACCCCCCCCCCCGTCCCTGCTCATGCTCTGTCTCTCAATAATAAATAAATGTTAAAAAATTTTTTAAAAAAATAACTTTCTTTATAACATATATAAAAGACTTATGCTCTCTTCTTAAAGACCAGGACAATACATGATGCAGAACTGCTGATACCATTTAGACCTTCATGTGCCTTCAGGTGGTCAGGAAGAGGAAGGTTCATAGGAACAGGGGAGGTCAGGGAAGGTTTCCTGGTGGAGGGGAGGGTTTGGAGTTGGACCGTGATTATGATTAGCAGAATTTGGCATGAGCAGAAAGGAAGCGCCAGGAAGAGTCTCTGAAGCAGGAGAAACAACAAAATTTTGTTTAAATCAAAAAGAAAAGAAAACTGTCAGAGAAGAAGAAATCACTATCAGCATCCTTAGCTCTTTCCCCCATCCCCAGAGCTTCCCTCAGGTTCCTTAGACTAATATTTGCCTCTCAGCCCCTGGCAGCCATAGCTGAAGGTAAATATTGGTTTAGCCTAGGAAACGGAAGCCCCAGATGGCAGTGTGGTCCTCCGCTAGCCAGGATGGCTCACACCCTTTGTGCCGCCAAGCTGAGGCACACCCTGTATGGGAGACCTACCCCAGGGCCTTATCTGCAGAGAGGCCCAGGCTTCTCATTGCAGGGAAGCCAGGCTGACTCACCAGCCTAGCACGTGGTCCAGGAGCAGCCTGGCCCTCAGAAAGCTACCCTCCCTGAGAGTCTCTATAGATCTCTGTCCTCAGAAGGCAGGTCTCTTACCAGGACTGGGGCACATGTGCACAGGTTGGGTGAAGCAGAATGCCATGAGCCCTTGGGACCCCACCCTGAGTGCCCCCTTAATGCCCTCCTGAGTTCAGCCACTACCATTTTGATGTGGCAATGTCTTCTCACACTGACCTTATGCCCAGCTCCGCCTGGGAGAGCTGAATTTCAGGGCCAGCCTGGCTTCTGACTAGCTGGGAGAATTTGGACAGGCCCTCTTCTATCTCTCGGCCACCGTTTCTCCTTTTGAAAGACATTGACAGCAAGGTAGCTGCCAGAAACTTTCTACTTTCACGGCTCTCTCCCCTGCGATGCATGCACATAGCCCCGCCTGTGCACACCCCTTCTCCACAGGTCACCTACACCTCTTCTCTTCACTTGCTCCCTGAAGGTTCTGTTCCCCGACTGATGATGCTAATCTAATTCCCCACCTCTGTGACCATGCATACCCCTCCTGTCCGACCTAAACTGTTCCTCCCCAACCAGTCTGTGCATTCCAGCTTCTCTGGTTCCTGACCTGAAACCTCTCCTATAGGAAATCCTGGATCGCTCCCCAGCTGTACGACCCCCAACACATGGCTCTACTCTCCAGCCACACTTCATTGCAGAATTGGATCATCTCAGAGCAGTTATATGGTGTGTCCCCCAAAATAAACACTCTTCAAAGAGAGGCACTGGGTTTTCCCCCCGCCCCCTCATTGCACCTGGGCTGCGGTGGGCACAGAGGGGTATCAGGAGCACCCTACAAGTGGGGTCTTGGCTCACCAGCTTTCTGCCAGGACCCACAGCTGCTCTTTGTGAGCCAACGTTTCTGAGAGGAGCAGGGAGACCCTGAAGAATTGGGATAGGAGCTTATCTCTCCAAGCATTAATCACCCCATAAAACTTGTGTTTATTTGCTTGCTCACAGGTCCTTCTTTCTGGAGGTAGGAAGCTGTTATTCTTGGAAATACCAGCCCAGGCTTGGCCGGGACACCCTGAGGAAAGAGGCAATCTCCTGAACTCCAGCATGTCAGGGGTGCCTCGAAGGCTTGAAGCAGACCTGCAGGGGTCATGGTGGGGGCACCAGTGGGCCTCGTTATGTTAGGGCAGAGGGGGTTGGGATGGGGCACCCCCTTGGTGGTGTCACTTCAGGAAGAGACGCCACCCCCTACCTCCACTCTGTCCGGAGAGACAGCCAACGTGTCCGTGGCCTGACTTGCATATCTGCTAGGTGCCAAGTACCCCAGGATATCTGTGATCCGAAGAGCAGATATGGGCCAGGTGGGGTTTGGAGGGTTTTGGCCACAGGTCCCAGAGAGAGGCAGAAAGGGAGGGGGCAGACCTAGCAGGAAGTCCCTGCAGATGAGACACTGGTCTGGGAGGCAACCGCCTCGAGAAAGACAAGCCCATCCTCAGAGCTACCAAGGCAGAGAGTGACTTCTTCAGGGAAAGGAGAAACTCAAAGCCAAGATGGCTTAGAAGGGAGAGCAGGGAAAGCCACAGGCAGTGAAGGGATCAGGGCGGCAGCGGGG